GCTCGCCGAGCTCCCGCCGCCCTGCCCGCCGCGCTCCCCCTCGCCCGCGCCCGCCGCGTCCTGCGCTCTCCTCTCTCTCCCTTTCTCTCCTCCCTTTCTCTCTCTCTCTGCGTCCTCCTCTCATTCTCCTTCTTTCGCGGTCTCTTCTCTCCCCCTCTGGCTCTTTCTCTCTCCCTCCTGCTGTTCGCGGTGGCTTCTCACTTTCTCTCTTTTTACTTCCTTTCCGTCCTCGTTCTTTCACGCCTCCCTCGTTCTTTTCCTTCCTTCTACTTGTCCCTTCCCTCTTCCGCTTCCCTGCCCCGTTTCCTTCCTCCCTCCTTCCCCCTGCCTTCCTCCTTCCTTCCTCTCCGTTCTTCCTCTCTCCTTTGTTCATTCCGCCTCTTCCTTCCCACTCCCTTTTCCTCGCCTCTCCCCAGCCCGTCTCCGTCCTTCCACCCCCTGCCATGGCACATACACCTGCTCTGTCTGGGGGCCACGTTATTCCCGCCGGCCAGACCCTGGCTGGGGGATCAGGGGCAGCGGCAGCTTGGGCCGAGGACCCTTCACACGAGACAAGCTCCTCTGCCCGGGTTTCCTGTCGGAAAGGCCCCACTTCCCTACCCTCATGGGCCACAGCGTGGGGTCCCCTCCCCGGCTCCTGCTCCCCTCTCCACCCGGCTGCCCCCCAGCTCCAGCCTGACCCCCATTGCAGCCCTCACCTGTGACAAGGCTGTGCTGGCCTGTCTGTAGCCTCAAGCCAGCGAGCCCCTGTTTCCCCACCTTCCTCTGTCCCCGGCTGGGAGACCTCCGGTTGTAAAGAGTCTTGTGGGGAAAAGGTTGCAGCCTCCTCCAGGGCCCCAAGAGGGAATGGAGACGGGGATCTTCTATCAGTTCCTCATTTTAGGAGGGAGAAGGAAGCCACTGGAGGGCTGGCCCCAAGATCTTCCCCCCTGGGTCCCCTGAGATGGTGGCTCTCATTCCATTTTCCAATCATTGATGGAACCGCACCAGAAACTGGGCTGAGGCCTTTATACTTGATGTATTCTTTATGCTTGATTTCTTCTCACCACAGTGCTGGGCAGCATCCTCCCCACTTCAAGGGGAGGTGCTGGGACTCAGAGAGGTTAGGACACCTGCTCTGAGCCATACAGCCAGCTAGGGGCAGAATGGGGGCTGAAGCCCAGGCCTGCCTGACAGTGAAGCCCAGTCCCCCAGTGTTGGCCCCTCACAGATACCTTGGTGAACATCAAGAGAGGGTACCAAGGGCAGGCAGTGCACCCTCCCGTTACTGAGGAGGAACCAGAGAGAGCGGCAGGTGCCAGGCACAACTTCTGCGCCACCCCGAGGTGATGGGGCCACGAGTCCAGATGGCATTCCCGATGCCACAGCCTGGGATCCTTTTGAAGATAAAAGTGAGGATCAGCTGTGTGCCTGAGGCACCCGCTTTGACAAGGGGAATGATGCCAGGGTGCCCACCCCAGGAAGGCATGGGCACTGTTGAGGTGCCTTGGTTTCCCCATGTGTCTCACAGGCATCCATGCCCTCCTGTCCTCAGTGGGCCTGGTTTGAGCAGCTGCCCGGGCGGGACACTGAATCTCCCCCATGAGAGCCGATGTGGGCCCTGCCCATGGGAGGGGCAGAGGGCCCCATGAACACCCCAGCAGGGCGAGGCCAGGGCCACAGCGAGGGCTCAGGGGCACAGTGCCTGCTCTGCCACAGGGGCAGGTGGTGTTGCCCAGTGGGAAGGCTCATGGGATTTGTAGCAAGGCGGCACTTGGTCCCTAATTGGCCAGGTGGCCTTGGGCATGGCACAGAAGCTCCCTGAACGTCAGTTCTCTTCCCTAAAGAGGTCACACTGCCTCCCGCACAGGGTGTCTTGAGGACTAACTGGGACTGGGCCTATGAGGTACTTCTCCTGATGCCTGGCAAATATCCCAAGAGGGGGACAGAGGAAACAGGCCCAGAGAGGCCACGGAACAGGTGGAAGGACCGACCGGGTGCTGGCGGGGGTGGGGCTGTGAGGTGCTTGCCGGTTTGTCGTGTCTGATTTTGGCTGTCACACTGGAGAGGTGCCTGTCATCTGTGCCCTGGCAGGGACTGTGTCTCAGGGTCGAGGTGGCTTTCAGTGCCAGGAACACTCCGACTTGAGGGATGTGGGCTGAGTGAGGGCAGGAGGCGCGGGGGCATCACAGCAGGCCGCCTGTGTGGCTGGAGTGGGCTGTGTTGTGTGTGTGGTGTCGTGTGTTGTGTTTGTTGTGTGAGTGGTGTGTGTTGTATGTGTGAGTTATATGTGGTATTCGGTGTGTGCACATAGTATGTGTGTTCTGTGTATGTGTATTGAATATGTGGTATGTGTTTATGGTATATGTGTGAGTATGTATGTATGTGTGTATGAGAGAATGTGAATGAGTGGTATGTGTGTGGGGTGCGTTCTATGTGTGTGTAGTATGTGTGTGAATGTGTGAGTGATGTGTGTGTCTTGTGTGTGTTATATGTCTATGTGGTACTGTGTGTGAGGTGTGTGATGTATGTTTATGGTGTGTCTGTGTGTTGTGTAGAGTGTGTGGTGGGGTGTGTGGTATGTGTAAGATGTGTATGTGTGTAAGTGTACACAGGACTGTAGAGACTGTGTTGTGTGTGTGCTGTATATGTTGTATGTGTGATGTGTTTGTGTGTATATAAGTGTGTGTTGGTTGTGTCATGTGTGGTATGAATGTGTGTATGTGTGCATTGTGTGTATGTGGTGTGTTGGTGTGTGGTATGCGTTGTGTGTGTGTTTGTGAATGTGTCTATAGGGGTATGTATTTGAGAGTGGGGTGTGTTGTGTGTAAAGATGTGAGTGGTGTGTGAGTGTTAATGTGTGTGTTTCAGGGTGTGTGTGGTGGAGTGTGAGTGGTGGGGGGTAGTGTGTGTGTGTGAAAGTGTGACTGGTGTGTGGTTGGTGTAGCAGGGTGTATGAGGGTGTGAGTGCTATGTGTGTGCTGTGTGGGGGTGTGTATGTGAGGGTGTAAGTGGTGTGGGGATGTGTGTGAGTATGTATATAAGTGGGTGTGTGAGTGTGTAAGGGTGTGAGTGGCAGGGGAGATGTGAGTGTGTATGTGAATATCTGTATGAGGTGTGAGTGAATGGTGTGTGTGGTGTGTGGGTTGTGTGGTGTCTGTGTGTGGGGGAGGATGTGAATGAATGGTGTGTGAGGTGTGTGGGGGTAGTGTGTGTGAATGGTGGGGGTGTGTGTATGTGAATGTGTGTGGGTTGTGTGGTGTCTGTGTGTGTGAGGATGTGAATGGTGTGTGTGAGTTGTGAGTGTGAGTGGTGTGAGGGATGTGTGTGAGTGGTGGGGGTGTGTGAGAGTGTATGTGAGCGTGAGTGGACGTGTGAGTGAGTGGCGTGTGTGCTGTGTGTGGTGGGGTGTGTGATGCTGTTGGCATTCAGGGGTGGTAGAATGAGAGTAACTTCCTGTTTTGGGTGTGCATGTTTGGAATCCCCATATGGTATGTCTGTGCACGTTCCCCACATGTGTGTGTGGGGTGGTGTGTCTCTGTGTCTGTGTGTGATGTGTGTCTATGTGTGGTGTGTGTGTCTGTGTGTGGTGTGTATCTGTATGTGTGGTGTATGTGTGTATGCACAGTGTGTGTGGTGTTTGTGTGTGGTGTGTGCGTATGTGTGGTATGTGTGGCGTGTGTCTGTATGTGTATATGTGGTGTATGTGTGGTGTGTGTGTGGTGTGTGTGTATGTGTGGTGTGTGTGTGGTATGTGTGTTTGTATCTGTGTATGTGTGTGGTATATATGTGTGTATCTGTGTGTGTATGTGTGTGGTATGTCTGTGGTATGTGTATGTGTGGTATGTATCTGTGTGTGTATGTGGTGTCTGTGTGGTGTGTATGTGTGGGTATGTGTGGTATGCATGTATGTGTGTATATGTGTGGTATCTGTGTATGTGGTATGTGTGTCTGTGTGGTGTGTGTATGTATGTGGTATGTGGTATGTGTGTGTGTGTGTGTGTGTGTGTGTGTGTGTGTATGTGTGTGTGGTGTGTTCAGGGCATATCGAAAGCGTCATCATTTAGTAGAGCCCCTCCCCTGGTCCCCCCCTCCTTCCCTCCCCTCGTTCACCTGCCACTGGGCATGGCTCTGTGCCTGTCCCAGGTCAGTGCTGGACACCCAGAGACCAGAAGAGGTTCCTGCCCCAAAGAAGCTCACGGTGGGTCGGTGGCAGGACAAGATATTAAGGCTCCATGACTCCGTCTCCTACAGGGCGAAGCACCATCCCCTCTTCCTGTGCCTGTGGCCCAGCTCGCCTGCCCAGCCTCCTCTGTAGCCAGGTGCCCCGGGCTTCAGCCACGCCAAACCCGCAAGGCACAGTGGCTGCCCTGGTTGGCCACTCCGTGGCCTCCTCAAAACCCCAAAACCCCACTGTATGCTGGGCCGGGCTGCCCTCCGCAGCACTCCCAGGGCCTGCACCTTCACCTTCTCTCTGCAGCACGGGT